GGCGTGGACCTCTTCCGACGAAGAAATTGTCTTCATCGGGCAAAACCCATTTCGGGAAAGCCAGCTCTTGGACAAGTCGGCGGAGAAAGTCCGGCGGAGAGAAGCAGCTGAGGTGTTCGACGAAATGTCGCTGTCGTAATCCCCGCCGAGAATCGTCACGATGCCCTGCTTCTTCATCGATGAAGACAAACCAAGGCTCTTGCTTAAGCCACAAGCCATCTCAAAAAACACACCAAACTTTCTCTGTGATATTCCTTGCCTGCACAAACACAGCAAAACACATGAGAAAACTGCACGTATCAATGAAAATCAGGTGATCATTGCACACCAAGAACGGATTCAATTCTTCTCTCTTCAGGGTATGATGATGATGATGATGAAATTTCGATGTGATTATTACCTGGAGAAAGAGAGAATCCAAAGCGGCAAAACGACAGAGAGGCTTCTCCGGTGAATCTGTTCGAGAGGTGAAGAACTCTTTGTTGGTTTCAAGTTTCAACGAGTGATGTCTGAGAAGAGGAAGGGGAGAGTGAAGGGTGTATATGTAGGAGTGGGCAATATAGGAACCATGTACTGTGGGGCCCACCGCGACAAAAAATGACACCTCATTGGTTCTTTACCTAAAAGGTAATAAAATAAAACTAATATTACCAAAAAAAAAAAAGCCCTCCATGAACAATAACATTCCTCCTTTGCATTGCGAACTTAGTACAATTCTTTTTATGGAGTATTCATTATATATTCATTTTTCAGCTTACTATACTATGAAGTGTAGTTAATCGTGGTGTGTGTGTGTATATATATATATATATATGCATTTTTCATCTTCAAATATTTTCAAACGCTTATAAATTAAATATTTGTTATTATTGCAAAGCTGATTATATCTTTGTGCGTAGGCTATGGATACGATAGAAATAACGTATATACGTTGCAAGTTGTTCATTTAACCAGATTTTAAATCAATGGGTTATCACTTGATATGTCCACTAAATCTATATATTTCATTATTTTAACCAAGTAATTTACTGTAATCATTATTTAGTGTAAGGTGATGAAAATGTTAAAAATAATTTTAAATGGATCAAATATTTCGTAACCCAATATTCCCCTTTTCCTAGAAATAACAAATAAAAATTGTGGACAATCCCACGTTTGTGTTGTAGGGTCGTACGCGTGGGTCGGGATTAGTTTGAGCCTTTGGGCTTGAGATCACCCGATTATCAAAAAAAAAAAATTGTGGACAATATAATTAATAATTTTTCTGTTTATTTGAGAAGAAATTACCCGTTGCTTAGATTATTCTCTACTATATATTATTTTATTTTTTCCGGACAATTAAAATTAACTGCAGCACAGATAACTAATGGATAAAGAATTGAATTTTTAAAGAAAGAAAATGTGGTTTTGGTATAGATACCATGGTGAAGCCATAACGTGGCACGTTGTGGAAGACATAAATTTTCTTTTTTTTTTAAAGTTTTTTTTAGCTGAAGATAAATGGTGAGGAGAATGTTCCCAAAATATGCATAAAAGCTGGATGGCATTATCGGATATTTAAATTCTTATAATATTTATTTTCCTCTCAATATGCATTTTGGAACAGTAAGAACTGCAGCAGTCGGGAATCGGGATTCTAATTTATTTCAAATCAAATTTCTAAATGATTTTATGATGCTTTCGAACCGTTATTATTTTTTCTTTTTATATATATATATGTATAGTTGTTATATTAATACATAAGTATTTATATGAAAAATAGTTCTTTCACTGATAAATGAGAGAAAAGCGTTGTTTTGCATACCAAAAACGAGCACGATAATAGTGTCTCCAATAAAGTCTTTTTTTCTAAATTACTATCACTATACTAAATTCAATTTATATTTTAGAGATTTATGTGTGTGTATATATATATGTGTGTGTTTAAAAAATATTAATTATTTTTTCCCTTGAAGGGTATTCCATAAAACTTTTCTCAAATGGTTGTGTAAGTTTTTTTTTTCTAATCGGATAGACCAGGGAAATACAAGTTGGTGGCTTTGTTGTAAATCAATTGCGGTATCGTCGAAGAGAGCGACGTATGCATGGCGACATGAAGACTGAATATTTTTTGTTTTCAAGTGGACGTGGGTGCATGTAATCGTGTATATAAATACGTATATACACACACATACGTGTCTATATATATACACGCACGTATATACCCACACACATGTATACGTGTGTGTGTGTATATATATTACAAAAGTGTGTTATTTTCCCTTTTATAATCTATACGATCTGATAAAATTTTATTTTGTTCGATCTTATCTTTTCTTGATCCAATCATAATGTGGCTCAACTCTTTTTTTTTTTTTTTTTTTTCGATTGGGATTTTATCTCTTACGTTTTATAACATAAATTTGAATTCTTTTTATCTTTCTCATTTATTCATAGTTTTTTTATTTATCTCGAATTTTCATAAATTTGAGTTCTTTTTTATATGTGCGTGCGTATACATATGTGATATATGACACGACTAATCTGTATGTGTATGAAATTAATATTGCGTACATCCAACACGAACATGTACGTACGCTTGTCTATATATACATGGCATGTACATAATAAAAAACGTTAATTGGATTTCGAATTATAAAAATAATTAAAAAAAAAAGACAACTTCCATAAAGAACCAAACATTTCCGATCATGCAAAAGGCAGAATGTGAGACAGTGAGCGTGTGGACAGAACATTGCTTAAGGTGGAAGCAAAAGGAATCGCCTCCCCTTTATTAATGGACCAAAATTCAATTGGACGGACCAATTAATTTACCAAAATAAACATATAATATCAATTTTAACCCTTAATTAATAATTAACCTGCGATGTTAATTCAGCAATTTACAAGGATTGGCCTAACTTATTTATTTTTCGCTCTTATTATATGTTCAACGATGCATCACTAATTATTTCTTTCACTTATAATGTGTGTTACCATGGACGGTTATATATAATTGGAATTTATTTGTAAATAGAATTTCTATTTTAAAACTATATATATCAATGTCTCCGGTGAATATTATATATATATATATATATACACGACACACGACATACATCATGTGTACATGAGAGTGTCTCATACATTAATTGGTCACGGGGAATGATCAATAGAGTGCCCTATCTTAATTTTGAGACATGTAATGTAAATGCGACGGCATTAATTAGATGAGGATCATACGTACATGAGAATAATATATGATGAAAAGACCGAAAATGTTGAAAGTTCGTATCACAAAAGGGTCATTCGTTGGATTTGGATTCCTACATATCTATTTCTATTGCATATACGTATATAAAAGGAATAATATATATATATATATATGTATATATGGGGTAAATATAAAAAACCATATATATATATATATATATATATATATATATGGGGTAAATATTTTTAAACAATTAAATACAGATGGAACGAAATAAAAAAGTAATTAAATTTAAAAATAATCAAAACCAAATATAACATAAATCCAAATTGTTGCTAGTTGCTACAGGTGACACATGTTTAGGATTATTTTTGTGTTAATGACACATCATAAGCTAATTACAAGAAGGCAATTAAAAAGAGTAATTAAACATTAATTTAAAATGCTTTACACAACGCAAGAATCATGCAGACTCGTTCTTTGTTCTTTGCTTATGGTGGGTCCATGTCTCTCTCTCTAATAGATGCTCTAATGCCCATATACACAAATACACGAAAATTGGATATTTGTAGGTATTTGTTTCGTCCACATATGATTTTAGAATACTCATACCTATTCAAATCCAAATCTAAATTCGAATTTTTTAATATCCATGAATTTAAATTCAAATTCGGGTAATACAGATCCAACTAATTTGGTTATAAATAATTCTACTTTATATCTATATAATTTTTTTTTATAAAATATAATTATTTAGGCTAAAATTTTCATAATTTTAATATTATCTCAAAATTTTAAATTTATTATTATTTATCTCTTATTACCTCTCTTACTTTATCTCATATTTTTTTATTATATTCCATCCACTTCTTTATAAATGTACCTTCATTTTTTGAATATTTTATATATAAAATTATTTGTTCTTAAATAAATTTGTATCTAGATAGTAGATACCCACGAATATCCGAACGTTATTCCGGATATCCGTACTCCGTATACTCGTAAACCACAAATCCCGATATAAATTTTATAATTAAATTCCGAGATTTCTAGATTCAAATCTAAATAACTCGATTTTTTCGGGTATCCGACCCATACCTAGCCCTATATATATAATCTAATTCATCAAAATTATATAAAAAAAAACAAGAAAAAATAATGTATGAAAAAGAGAATTTGTAGGAGAGAGAAAGCTCCGCCGCACAAGCATAGATGAAAGGCAAAATAAGAGACATCGATGCGGGTTGTCTATAAACCAAAGCAACACCACCCAAATTCAATAAAAAAATATATGATTTTGTTAATATATATATGTATAATGTAACCTACATACATATACACATACATACACACATACATACATATATGTGCGGACCCAAAACTATTTTCATATGGGAGCAATAATAATATGTGTATAATTTTATATGAATAACCATAATTTTATTGAAGGCATTTATCAATTGTTTTGTAATTTTATAAAATTTATAAAAAAAATTAACATTTTTTGATTAATTATATGGGGCACGTGCCCCTATTCTCCACTAAATAGATCCGCCCATACATACATACATACATACATACATACATACATACATACATACATACATACATACATACATACATACATACATACATACATACATACATACATACATACATACATACATACATACATATGCCGAAACCGATTCCCTCCTGAACCATCATCGTCGCTTCTGCCTCTTTCACGAATCTGTTTTCGTGAATTGTTTGTCGAAGACGAAGACTTCCCATTCACATCACTCAGTCCGGTTCGGTTTTTTTGTACTGCAACTAAACCGATTCAATAGCCAAACCAAGCAAATGCCATGTCGTTTTTTCCAAACCGAAATCAGCCAAGAGTCTCTGAACGTGTTAGAGGGTTTCACTTTCCACTGCCTTCCAACAATATATATATAATTTGCAAAGTATCGTATATTTTTTATATTTGGAATTTTATATGTAACAGTTGGCAAAAAATAAATTAAAAATATTCGGAGGGAGGAATATTCTTTTCCATGACTAATAGTGGAAATGGATGCGATTTCTACATGCATTTAATTTGCATCCTAAAGGAAACCAAACACATTGAAAAGCATAATGAGATTGGAGAGGATCTTTTCTGTTTTTGGTAGGAATTTTTCCTTTCCATTTCATCAAACCCTCCAATCGAAAGATGCCACCTGGATGAAACAAAATACTGGCATATATTTATTTCAATTATTCTTCTGATCAATAATCATCACTAATAGTGTCACCACAATAACGATATTTATTTAAATATTGTATTATATATACACAAGGAATACAATATTTAAATATAGATTCCAGTTTTAATTACTCACTTAAATTTCATTTTTGAAAAAGAAAAATACCAAGTCAATTTTTGAGTGTTAGATGAAGTTTTAGCTTTAAACACGTATATTAAGAAAAAAATTATTTGATCTAAAATACCTTTACTTAATGGATAGATAATTATCATGATTATTATTATTAACAAGGGATAATTTTAGAAAACCATATAAAAAATGACATTAAAAAACTAAAAATTATTTTGAAATAAAAATTATGCTAAAACGTCATTAAATATAAGAATTAAGAACCTTTTTTATGCTAAAAACCGACCATTAAATTTAGTCCAACCAACCAACCTTTTTTAAAGTAGTTATAGAACAGTGCCACAACGTTATTTCTATTCAAAACTTTAATGGACTTACTTTATTTTGGCACCACATACATATAAGAATTAAGAACTATATAATATTACATTAATTTATTTGTACGATAAATAATTAAAAAAAAGCAAATCATATTTGGAGTATATTATGTTGAATATGGAATATATATATATATATATATTATATTCTTCTCCTTTTTAATTTTACTGGGCAAAAGTGTAAGAAGGGTGAAAAAGATGGACTTAAAATGAATAAAGAAGAGGAGGATAAAAAAAATTGTACGGACAGCAAAGACTAGATCGGATTGTACCTTCGTGATTGTCCGTACAATTGAATTGTGTGGCTTTCCATTTATTACAGTTTACTTACTTACGGGAGTGTTGTTGGGACATGTGGGTGGCTTCGTCATGTCACTTTGCACTTTCCACGACGAGACGTCACTATGCCCTTTCTTCTCCTATGTTTTTTTTTTGTTCTCTCATTATTTTTTAATTTTCTAATGATATAGATATGTTACACATAATATTTTTTTGTCGTTTTATGTGATTTTTTTATAAAAAGTTGACAATTTTATCCTCAATTAAATATCTGATTTTCGGATAATCAAATATCTTTACCATTCCCTATTATTCTCAGATTATAAAATGACAAGACACGATGTGGTGCGCAGTGACATTCTGAGTAAATACCTACACAGTCATACTCAAGACACATGTAAAAACAAATATCATAAGCGAACAAAGCCATGACATTTTGATTGTATATATATGTGTGTGTATGAATATGTATGACAGCTATGAAACCAGACTTTGAACAATTGGTTAATTAGGTTCTCTAATCAAGCCAAGAATGCTGAAGCATCATCAATCAGTTAAAGAAAGGAGGCTTTTTACAGCAGAAGCAGCAAATGAGGACTAATGGACTCTTTCTTTGTTCAAAGAAAATGCAAAAAACAAGTTTTTCATGAAATTGATGATACCTTTGTTCAATAATATAACGAGGGTGGATCAGAGGGCGGATAACTCAACTTCATGGGTGGAAGGCCTATACGCAACGAAAGTGCTGTCCGTTGCGAAGGAGCCTGGGTTGAAGCATGTGGTTCCCCCGAATTTGCATACCTTCTGCTCGCTCTTGTCTCCCAACACCATCTGTTTTTTACAACATCCCCCCCCCCATAAAAATCGTTGGAATTAGGCTGATGGAATAATTTGGAAATATTTCTAGAAGAAGAAATGTTTTCGTTTCAGTAACAACACATATTTGCAATACAAATCTACACAACTACCACACTTTATGATGACATGTTTATAACTATTTTCCATATCTAACTAACCTAGATATGTATCTATCACATTTGTTTAACTATGACACTAATCTTAAGTAGTTTTAATTATTTTCCAAAATCAAGTTTCAATGCTATTCAACATATCTATTCGTAAACATATGAAGATGTTACGAGCACAAACAGCATCTGGAGTTATAAAAAAGGGTGGTGGAAATGATCGTATTAAGAATAATGGATGAATTTCTTTTTTCTTTATAATGGCCTTGAAGAAACTAAAATGTTCCTAAAATGCATTACCAAATATGTAAAAAAACTCATGAAATGCAGAGAAAGCATAGGGTAAAAACAAGAGTTATCTCACCGTGTGAGGAGTTGGGTAAAGCCGAAGGGCGTGATCGTAGTTCCAGATGATGGGTTGCACCATGAGTGGTAGAGGACAGAGGTGGCTCTGATGAGTTATCGTGTACACTAGCTGTAAAAGAAACAAAAACAAACTCCATTTTTTCAGTTCAACATTAATTAAACAATGTCATTATGCAGACATTAATCCGAAAAGAGAAATACTGTGTATGATTGATTGTCTTTACATGCTGAAAAGGGTCCTCGGTTTCTTCTGTGGAAGGGGGTATAAGGCAGGAGCGACGCATCCGATGGAGCAGATCCTGCCTGAAGAATACAATCTCCTGTGTGTAGAATTTGACCCTGCGTAATATATGGTTCATAATATATGGTTGACAAGTTACATATGCGGACGAAAAAGATTGGATCAGAAGGGGACATACCTGCAAGGGTTGCTGGAGAATATGGCGTTAGGAATAATTTCTCGAAGCTCTTCAGTTAAATAACTTGGTAAACTACATCTGGGCAATACCGTGGATGGACCTATAATCACAAACCAGTTGTAATAACTTCACTAGAAGCCATGTTTTTTTCTCATGGAACCAGTGAAAACCTTGTGTAGACAATAAAACCTGATGATACCTGCATCGTCTGGACCCGGGATGAACAAAAACCGACTATGCTCTTTTAATCGTGGATGTTTCCCAATCATTTTCCCTAGTTTCCCAAACTGCTGCCTGCAAATGGAACACATTTTGATAAAGACATTTCCCTATGCAGAAGGAATATATTGACTAAATCCCTTAAGTACATCGTTTACAATGAACTCTTACCTAAGCTTTGAATAAGAACCAAAAGATAAGTTGCACGGATGGGAACAAAAATTTCCCATGAAAACAAACAAGGAAGGTACTATCTCCACACTTTCAAAACCACTGAGGACAATTTCCAGCTTCCCCAGAACCTTCACTACGGATGAGGTATTTCATCAATCAAGTGGTGCTATCAGAAATTACGTGGTAACAAAATGAAATGATATTAAATATAAAAGAGCCAACACTTGGACTCACCTCTTCATCATCCACCCATATATCAGACAGTACAACAAATGTGTCACTCACGGCTTTTCTTTCTAGGTCTGCAAGTTTAAGCTATTCATACGAGCAAGAAAAAGACATTGTTATTGTTCTGACTAAAAAGCCTTAAAAAACTTCCCGAGGAAAAACAAAAGCTTTCTCTATTGAATGAGAATGCAAAAGATTAGGGATTACCATCTCTTCTTTAGTGAACATTCCACTACCAAAGAAGTCGAATCCAGCATGTAGCTTCAATGTTTTTTCCCTTTCCTCTAATGGCGGAAACCCACATGTAATTACCTTCATCACAAATAAGTGAAAAGGGGTCAACCATACAATGACCCCCTCAAGTAATGTTTTCAAATCTTTGGACGTTTCACTTAACTGTGATACTTCCTTTTGAGCTACAATCATACTAAAGGAAACTTAGATTTGCCTGTTCTATGAATTTATCGGGGTGTTCATCGGTAGCTTGCATTTGGCACGAACATAATAATAGCAGAAGAGATCATACAGATGTGTCAGTTCGACCTTCCTACCTATGGCAATATCTTGTTACCGCAATGATCAATACGTAAATTCAAATAAAAGCGTAAACAAGTGCAGTGTGGCTAATGATAAAAGCATCTTCTTGGCCTATTGGTACACAACAAGAGATTCTCTGAAAAAGTTAAATCTGAACCTTGTATCTCTAAAGTGTACCTGAAAGATACCATTCACCTGCAGCTCGCCCTCTGCCAACACTATACTGTTCTCCGTGAAAAATCCTGTGGTTATCTTGTACTAATTGTCGAAGAAAACTATTTATAATATGCTGTGGAATGTGTGTATAAAATTTTGCAGCGTTTATAATTTGCATAATCAGAGAAGGATATTGCTTTGGACAAATCAATTTCAACACAAGCTGAAAGGTCTTCCAGATAGAAGTGGCCATCTTCCAGCTGTGAGATCACGCCCATCACCCATCTTCTTCCTTTCTGAATGATTAGAGACTGGATAGAAGATATCTACTAGACAGCGCATAGCACATCAAAACCATCAGTTTCACCTCAAATATAAGGACTCAAAAGAACACAGAAACTGGGCATGATTATGCATCAAAACTGAGAATCAACCTCATAACTCTCGAACCCTGACAACTCGGTATCAAATGCAGGTCTGGAGAAATGTTCTGCACGAGATACTCTCTGCAACAGCAACATAAATCTGTCCCTATATAAAGCTGTTTTTGCAGAAGCCTCTCCATGGACAGGCAAGCTGCTTGTATGCCTGAAATCAGTGCATAATATCCAGTCCAGCCAATTCGTTAGCACCGACAAATAGCCACAATAATTTATCAAAAGAAACTAAACCACCACCACCATCATCATCATCATGAAAGCCGCAAAGAAAAAGAGAGGAAAAACCCATCATTTTGAAGCTCCTATAATATATCCATGAAAGTAAACCAATTTGCCCAATCAATCATAAACAATACTACAAAAGAGGGAAGATGGAGGTCAATCAGATAAGATAAATGCACAGTACCTTTCATTTAATTCAATAACCTATGCTACTCAATCCTTTACAAAATCCTCTCGCGCAACCCGATTGATAATAGCCACATAGCATAAGAAACAAGTAAGAAGATGAGACACATACTCAATAAACTGCTTCTTGACACCATCGTATCGATACTTGGGCGCAAAAAATGCATCAATAACACGCAATGCAGCACTCTCAGAAACAGTAGTGGCGGGCTCATCGGCCGCATTGTCAGCTTCCAACAAGAGATTCACCACTCTCCGAACAGATTCTCCATCAACTGTAGAAGATTTCACTGCACATTTTTTGCAATTCAAAAAAGTGAAACGCGAGTGAGACGGAGACAGACATCAACAAGAGGCACATATATGATGATCGAACAGTGGAGAGGAGAGCGAATCAGTCAATTTCGGTCTGACTTACGCGATTCCTCACCACAATAACGATATTTATTTAAATATTGTATTATATATACACAAGGAATACAATATTTAAATATAGATTCCAGTTTTAATTACTCACTTAAATTTCATTTTTGAAAAAGAAAAATACCAAGTCAATTTTTGCGTGTTAGATGAAGTTTTAGCTTTAAACACGTATATTAAGAAAAAAATTATTTGATCTAAAATACCTTTACTTAATGGATAGATAATTATCATGATTATTATTATTAACAAGGGATAATTTTAGAAAACCATATAAAAAATGACATTAAAAAACTAAAAATTATTTTGAAATAAAAATTATGCTAAAACGTCATTAAATATAAGAATTAAGAACCTTTTTTATGCTAAAAACCGACCATTAAATTTAGTCCAACCAACCAACCTTTTTTAAAGTAGTTACGCGACTCCTGCTGGAGATTGTCGAGGAGAAGATCGATAGCTTCTTCTTCATCTTCGGGGAACTGATCGACGAAGGCGCGAATCTCGTTCAAGGCCTCGATCTTGAGGTTATAGCCTCTTATTTTGAATTTCTTCTGTATCTTCTTCCTCCGCGGGCTGCTCATTCTCTCTCTCTCTCTCTCTCTCTCTCTCTCTCTCTCTCCCGTTGAGATTTGGATTCGAACCGACTCTTCCAAGCCCCTCAAAATCCTTTAGGGCTCTTTTTCTTCGGATTTTCCTTTTGGGCGGGAAAATCTGAATCAGGGAACCCCGAAATCGGCGGGAACAGTAATTAAAATAAAAAACCCTAAACCCTAATACCTGCAATTATATTTACATTTTTGCCCTTGCAGCCTTCAACTAAAAAATACATCACTATGATAAACCGGATCACTTCGGAATTAAACCCGGTACATCTCTACAACCCATCAGACCATCTTTACATCTCCGGTACTGATATTTATCAACTAAAAAATTGACTTGGTATTTTTTTTTCAAAAATAAAATTGAAGTGAGTAATTAAAGAAACAAAATAAAACAAAACGTATAGATACTTATCTTCGGATGCAAAGAATGTGAACTAAAAAAAAAAACAACCGGTGTTTGTTTGTTGCCCATATGAGCTCTCATGCATTTTTTCCAGTTATATAACATAAACATATACGTATCCTCGTAAACCGAAAATTGTTGAACCGGACGGTTAAGTCAGTCGTCGTCTCCCCAAGCATCGTCCCGTTGTTTCTGTCTCGCAACGATCCGATTTCTACGGGCAGCTTCTTGATCTCTAAGTTCTTTAGAACCAAAACCGGTATTTGGAAGCTTCAACCCCATGCTGTGAGCAATCAGCCTCTGCGCTGTCCTTGCCGATGTCTTCGGCCTTTGAGCCGGTGGTTCCAAATCTAAATCAAAGAAAACCAACGTAATCCCCGAAAGGGGATTACCCGATTAATCATACAGATCGAGACAAGATTCTAGGAATGGTAAGATGCGACTAGAACGGACACAACAAGACTGTTTACGCTAAAATCAAGACAGATCGGAAGCATACATACCGAACAAGAAAATTCAAATAAGAGCTGCAACAAACACTTCCTAAAAACGGGGTTTTTCTGATAAGTCTGTATAGAGTCATTGACAGAGAACAGATTACCTCTGGCTGAAATCGAGCCCAAAAGTGCATCATCATCATCGTTAAGCACGCGTACGGTGAATGAACATTGAACACGGTTGCAAGCCTCTTGAGCTACATCGAAATTACAGTAAGTTAGAAGTTATGATAAACTTGAGAAAAAGTTTCTAAACTTCATCAATAACAAAGAGCAACATGAGTATGTAGAACAAGAAAACACTGAAATTACGAAAAGGATAGACAATGATTCGATCATATCAAAGAACAAAACACTGAGTGCAGACTGGGGAGAAGGATATTATCGACTGATAGTCTTCAGCTCTTGGAACATCGAACAAAAAAAAAATCGATGCTAACTCTCAGAGGCAAAAAGGTGCATGCTTCCCTTCATTAGTCTTAAGGCCATTAAAGGAGCTATCTATGTCAGAAAATGGTTCAACCTTGGACAAAGATCATGTGCTCCAAAGTAATTCATAATTTAGCGGTCCCAAGTTAGATTCGGCCTGTGAAGAGAAAAGGGATACCAGTTGATGGCGTTTTGAAGACTGCAAGGGCTGTTGTGTCGTTGATCCAGCGGATAACGACTCCGCTATCCTTGAAATCCACAAAAAGCTTCTCTAAATCTATTGTCCTCAAATTCGGAGAAAACCCAGAAAGCACGAGGACATGGCGTGTACCATACTTGGCTGCATTTATAGCGGAAACACATTCAAAAGCATATGCTAAAAATGTCAACTTTAGTTGATTAACTGTAACCGGCCCTAGTTACCAGAAAAGCCAAAGAAAGAAGAAAGCAACATGAAGCAGCAACTCACATTTCAGTGATTCTAAAGTCTTTTCTGAACCATGAGAGATATCACGATCTTCTGAATCTTGAAGCCTTGCTTCGCTGTAATCTCGTTCACTGTACATTTCGTCCCTCTTATAAGTAAACGTTCCCCTTCCTCGTCTCTTTGGTTCTTGAACTTTAGGTTCTTCGACTGAAAGCTTTGATACATCAGGCAATTCTTCCAAGGAGAGTAATTTGCTTGGTTCACTATCCGCAATGGCTTCCCAATCTGCAATGAAACCAAGACCATATTAACAAGGACAACAGACAAATAATAACGGTCATCAAGAAAAATATAAAAAAGTTTGAACATTTCAGGTGGTTAATACACCTACCATCATCTGAAGAAGACTGGGCAGTAACACCATTACCAGCGGTTCTTGAGGATTGGGACACTACAGCACCAGAATCTCTGCGAATCACAAGCAAAGTTCGAATCCGAAGACCGAGGAAACAGTTCGAATACTAGGCAAACATTGACGAATGTCGCTTTCCTTATCATGTTTTTTCGTGCGTTGTAACTTCATGGTATACTCTTATAAAAAAAAACTTCATGGTATACCCATGGATTGGCCAGTTCCTATTCAGGGGATTAGGAGTTACGTATACAAACACAGGCAATGATGAAGTACCCAGAAGAAGAGACAGGCTCACAAGCGAGAGCGCTTTGCTTGACGAGGGAAGAACGAACGCGAAGCTCATCAGATTTGAGAGACAAACCCTGGGAAGAGTAGAGATCCGCCAATTCCGAGAGAGCAGAGGCCAACTGGAGGAAATTTTCGGAAGAAGAACCGAGCCGCGACTGGAGATCGGCGACCAGGGACTCGAGAAACGAGATCGCCGATGCGATATCTCCGGCCGACACGAGATCCTCGACTCGCTCGCTCCAGTTCTGTTCATCGATTGATGCTTTGACTTCTTCTTTTTCTCGGTTCGCGCGATTGTTCGCCATTACTAGGTCTAAGGACGATGCTTTCCCTCAAAACTATTTTTCCTCTCCTCGTATGGCAGAAACCGTGGGATTTTGAGAGTATATATTATATCAATTATTTTAAATATATATAAAAATTCCATCTGTTTGTTTAAATAAATACATCTAGTCCAAATTTTACTTGCTGTCCATTATATTAAATTAAAATTTATTGCAAAATTTAAAATAATAAAAAATTAATACATCTAATCAGATGTCGTTTCCGCTTTTTTTTTTTCATTATTGGTAGGTGACCAAAAATATCCTGATTTCGACTGCTTGATCTGATCCAAAGGTCGGATACCCGAAAATTTAGGTATCTAAATGGACGAGACATAAAATCGGGTATTAATATTAGAATATCCGAATTTTCGGATTCGGATTCGAGTAGTGGTTATTATCTCACGGAACTCGGATAATAAAAAAATATTTTAAAATTTAAAATTTTTATTAGATTTTATATTATTTTATTTAATATTAATGATTATATAGATATTTTATTGAATATATTTATGATGTATTTTTTAAAAATAAATTTATTTTAGATATAAATACAATTTAAATTTATTTTGAATGATTTTGAGCATGTATATATAAATATATTTTTAAAAAAATGATTGAAAATAATAGAAAAATTTTGGGTTCGGGTATCCTCAGGTACCCGATAATTATACCCGATTTCACAGGTACGAGATCGGATAATAAAGCAATTAACCCGAGACGTTCGGGTTCGGGTTCAAGTACTTTCAAATTTCTGGGTACCCAACCCGTGTCCACCCGTAATTATTGGACCTTGGAGTGAGCACGGGTCGGTTACCCCTAATTTTTAAAAAAATCTGTTTCATCTTCATCATTGCGGTTTTACAAAAATATTATCTCAATCTTTACTTCGTAAAATCTGGGTATTTATAGTTCGGGTTTAATGAGATTCTCACTTTTATATTTGCGGATACCCAGATTCATACGACTTATAAAAATTTGAATTATGAAATGATAGATATAGAAAGTACAAATGAGAGAGATCAAAGTATAAAGAGAACAATTCAAATAGAGATGAGTAAAATTTTGAAAGATATATTGTATAGAATGAGATTTGGAATGGTGAAATTTTTGTATATAAAGGTTTAGAAGATAAAAAAAATATGAACAAAAATAAAAGTATTTTAATAAAGAATAAGAATAATTTAGATAAAAATATTATAAATATAAAGTATATTTTAGATTTTTAACAAATATTCTGGATATCTTTTGTAAAATAATTAAATCTCCACTCGGATTCGGAAGCCGAAAATTTAACCTTATTAATACTCGATCTCATCATTATTAATATTTGGATACACTTAATTCGTATATTTGTTAAGCCGAGTATTTCCATACTTAAATTCGTATATTATAAATATAAAGTATATAATCATGTTTTTATTGGCTAGAAATTAATTATTACATACATAAATTGAAATAGCCATATCTATGTTCAAATAAAAAAATATAAATGTTATTTGCTAATACTAATAAAATTTGAAAAATGTGGGTGATTTATAAGTTTCATTCAAGTTCATATTATTTTATTATTTATATGTACTTTGAAAAATTTTAATTGAAACATGTTGTCATAGATTGCATAAATTTATAGATTTACCGTATTAATCCGAAATAAAAAAAAATAAATAAAGCAAAAAAGAAAAACGAACCGGCGCTTCCCTCCACATCAGTATCTGAACGGGACGCCCAACTCATTCCCTCGTTTTTCTGTTCCTTGCACCGTTTCTTCTCCTCTCCCGCTTCTTTTCGTTTCTCCCGATCCGCTCTCACTCCATCGCCGGAATCCTCTACTCTCTTGCGCCGATTTCTTTTCCTCTCCAGTTTCTTTTCTTGCGCCGGTTTCTTGGACAATTCCTCGTGAATTTTCGTTTCGGAGATTCTCGGTGGGATCAACGGTCGCCTCCATGTCGGAATCTCAGAAACCTTCAAAATCCCCTCCGCCGAAGCGGCAGGTCCATCCCGCGGGGTTCTCCATGAGGTCGGCGGCGGTCAAAAATGTGGGTGATTTATAAGTTTCATTCAAGTTCATATTATTTTATTATTTATATGTACTTTGAAAAATTTTAATTGAAACATGTTGTCATAGATTGCATAAATTTATAGATTTACCGTATTAATCCGAAATAAAAAAAAATAAATAAAGCAAAAAAGAAAAACGAACCGGCGCTTCCCTCCACATCAGTATCTGAACGGGACGCCCAACTCATTCCCTCGTTTTTCTGTTCCTTGCACCGTTTCTTCTCCTCTCCCGCTTCTTTTCGTTTCTCCCGATCCGCTCTCACTCCATCGCCGGAATCCTCTACTCTCTTGCGCCGATTTCTTTTCCTCTCCAGTTTCTTTTCTTGCGCCGGTTTCTTGGACAATTCCTCGTGAATTTTCGTTTCGGAGATTCTCGGTGGGATCAACGGTCGCCTCCATGTCGGAATCTCAGAAACCTTCAAAATCCCCTCCGCCGAAGCGGCAGCTCCATCCCGCGGTGTTCTCCATGAGGTCGGCGGCGTTCGGCGATTACCACCGGTTTGACGCGACGAAGCGTGGCGGAGCTTCTGATCAAGAGACTGAGGCGATCGTCTTTAAGTCTCCGGTGAGTTCTTCTCTACGTTTGGTGAATTTTTCGAGTTTCTTAGTGTCATTTTGTGTCTGAATTTTGAAGGTTTCATTGATTGCATCGTGACATTAATTGTGTCGAAAATTGTGCTTTCGGATGATGTCCTTTCGTTTGATCTCCTCGGCTCGTCTCTTTTGCAGTACAAGTTGTGATTTAGCATTTGCGAAATATTGCCTACAAAAGGTTTGATTTTAGTTGTAGGCCTAGGGTTTTTGTTCTTCCTGTTTTCATTCATTAGAACCAATAATTTCTCTTGCAAGTCGCAAGTCCGTCAAGCTTTGAGTCTTCATCAGCATCCGAAGCCGGAGACAGATACTGCAAACCGAACACCTGAGTCTAATGAATTGTCTACTGAAGAAGAAGAAGAAGAAGAAGAAGTGGGGAAGTCTAACGACTCCATCCATACACCTGTATCAGAAGAAGTGGGGAAGGCACAAAACTCTTCTGATTCTAAAAAGGGTGAGTTTGCAAGGAATTTCTCTAACAATTAGTTGAAAGATAGTGAGAAGGATTGTTTGTGTTGACAGGTTCTCCTGGCGACAACTTCGGTCAGGCCGGTACTAGTCGGTACAACAGTTCGCTAGGTGATAGTTGATTTCACAAACTTAATGTTTGAAGAGATTCATAAAGGATTGGCATTATAGTAGTGGTCTAATCTGGTTTCAGGTGTCTTGACAAAGAATCTCGTCAATTTAATAAAACATGTAGAGGATGGTATTCTTGACCTAAGGGAAGCCGCTGCCATTCTGCAGGTGACATATCAGGATTTTAGTAGTAATGGCCTTGATGTATAAGTTTCGGCGGTCAAGCTTCAATTTCATGGTCCTGTTGATGCAGGTGAAAAAGAGGCGGTTATATGATATAACAAATGTGTTAGAAGGAATTGGTTTGATGGAGAAGACAGTCAAGAACAAAATCCAATGGAAGTAAGCAAGCATATGAACTGAGTATTGCACCTTGGATTTTCCTTTGACTATGATTCTTGTGAATGCATTCTCTTGTAAATGCTAGGGGACTCGATGTCTCAAGCCCGGAAGAAACAGCTGAAAGTATAGCCAAGTTACAGGTACAGAACATGACTATGTACAACACCGCAGTATGTTCCACTGTAATCTATAGTATGCAGTATGCAATGTCAATATGTGAGCTAAATTCTCTATTTGAGCATAGTGTTTTTGTGGATAGTTTGATTATTGTTTCACCTCTTTTTGTTTGAGCATAGTTGCCCAGAACATTAAACAACTGGGTAGGCTGGCTGTACGCCGATTCTGCCTATATAATTTTTTAGTTACAAAATTTTTCAATGTGAAGGAAGAAACACAAAACCTTACAGCAGAGGAAACAAAATTGGATGAGCAAATTAGGTATGCTCTTAGATAATCTCGCTTTGGTTTTCTGCTACATCTGTATCTTGATGAAGAATCCATCTTCCTGTAGAGAAATGCAAGAAAAAATTTCGAGCTTGAGCGAGGATGAAAATAACAAAAAGTAAGCTTCTGTGATATATCTCCCTGCCAAATATAGTCCAACGTACACGTTTATTCTGACTCTCGGCATTTTAGGCTTCTGTTTGTCACTAAAGAGGATATTAATAGCATACCAAGTTTCCAGGTTGATATCCTTTCATGTAGCTGCTTTGTTTCCCATATTGGTTCGGTTTTTCTTTGCTTGGAAAATTGATTCCTCAACCTCTCTGATGAGCATGTTAGAATGAAACCCTGATAGCTGTCAGTGCGCTGCCTGGAACAATGCTTGAGGTGCCGGATCCTGATGAGGTAAGCTGAGGAGCATGTGGAGCCAAAAAGATGATGAAATTCACGTTGATAGTAACTATGGTCCCGTTTATTCTTTTGTCATCAGGGGGGTGATTCTACTCAAAGAAGATATAGCATTTGTCTCAGAAGCACAATGGGGCCAATAGACGTGTATTTAGTGAGGTGCCATATCTTCAAGAGTTATGCTTGCCGTTTATTTCTCTTTAATGGTTGTCAGATTTGACATTTTACTGAAATTTTAGTGAATTCGAAGAGTTATCTTCAAGAGTTATGCTTGCTGGGGAAAATGGTGCTGATGCGGCTTTGGATCTCCCGTCAACTTCTGGTTCGCATGAGAACCAAGAAACAGCCACAGACAACAATATGGAATCGCAGGAACAAGGTGTTGCTCAAATTATGTGTTCAGACAACGAGCTTGATGACTTTGTTAATGGGATTTTGAATACAGTTCCTTCCGATTGGGATGTAAGTTCCAACCTTATTCTGAAACCTCTTTTTCTTTTTCATATGGACAATATGCCCATGTTATCGTTGAAGTTATTGAACATTGATCCGTCTCTTTCTCTCGGGCGATAAAACTGTCAGACATATTGGTAAATCTTGTTTCATTTTTCAATAGTCTGTGTTACATGTATTAACAGGCGGGTATGGATTACTGGTTGCTATCAGAGGCAGACGATGTTAGCATTACCGAGAGGTGGCTGAGTGAGCGTATCCTTCTTTACAAGCCATTTTGACGCTGTTTCTGTTCCGGTTAATAAAGCCCTTGTAAATTGTTTTGAGATCCTTGACTTCATCTTTAGCCGAGGTCAACTTGAATCCATCCAGCTCTCATGACCAAGAGTCTGCTCCCCCCGGCGGCACAACCCTGCAGCAGCCTCAACCTCCATCCAGTCCGAAAGCAGAGCATTCCGCTGCTAAATCTACGGGTAGCTGAAGTAACGTTTACGAATCCTTCTCGTCCTATGAGGTGTTGTGCATTTGAACTGGACCAAAGGGAAGGTAGCGTTGTATGCGTGATGCAGAATAAAAGGATGAAGCCCTTTCTCTTGTATCTTTTTTGCAGCCTGCGCCTTAACGTGAATCTCAACTTCGGTTCGGAGAGGAGAGGAGAGGGAAATCTTAACGCGAGCCAGGTACGCCGTTTCAGATTTTCCGAAAACTTCCGAGTATCGTCGATCTGTGAGTTCGGGTACTCGAAATGTGGGTTACTCGTCTACCAATGGGGCGAGTAATAATGAGTACTAGTGTATTCATTCATCATGTACAAAGCTGGACAATTTCCAAGCAGATTTCATCATCTTATTTTTTGAACTATAACAAATAATTAATCATCATAAGAGAATCAATTTAGATTCCCCCAATCAAAAAACCTCGAGACCGTACAAAACGCCGGCGTGTTTCTCCGGCCCATCTTCCACGAAGTACAAGTCCCTCATCCTCTGAAACGCCTGCCACGTCAGCAGGCTGTCCGAACCCGCCTGATGGCATTTCCCCACCGCCCGGTTCACCTCCAGCGACCGCGCCAACCGGTCCAACCCTCCGTACAGTCTCTTCTCGCAGAACCTCATCATGTGCTTCACGTCGTACACTCGCTGTCCGAAGAGCACCCTCAGCAGCATGAGAAACTCCTCGCACGCGCCTGGGAGACGGCGGCGCATGAGTATCTTCACTAGGTACCCGAAATCGTACGCGCTGTGGAAGGTGACCCACGTCACGGCCTCGTTGCAGACCAATCCCGAAGACATCATCAGCTCCGCGAACCGACCGGAGTCGACGCCGTCGCGGCGGTTCCGTTCGAAATCGATGCCCTGTCGGCGGAGGAGCTCGATCGAGTCCGGCGCGTGTGCGTCACGTGTCACGTCGAAGTCCCTGAAGTTGAACTCCCAGATGAATCGGTTCCTGCCTCGCGTCCCGAGGTCCGGGAGGTTCCCGTCGGAATCCGACAAGGTCAGGCCCACTTGGATGAGGCAGAGCTCATCGACGTTGGACTTGAGGAGCTTGTATAGGTCGGAGGGACGGTTATTGCGGCGGAGCACGGCGGGGTCCGCCTTGAAAATTACGCCGGGAAATTCTGTATCCATGGAGACAAATGGGTAGTCGTCGATCACCTCTCGGATCAGCTCGAACTCTGATTCGAGATTCTCCGCCCAGACCTCTCGGATCACGACCGAGCCCGGTTCGTGTTTCGTGTCCGAATCGATCAGCATCTTCGTCGATTGGAATCGAGATTCGAGTTCGGCTTTTGGGTCTTCGTCTTGATCTTGCTATGGCGTATAAGAGATACAAGTGTGTGTATATATACGGAAATGAGGAGGTGGGGCGTGTGTAGAGATGGGAAGAGTGAAGAGTTGCGAGGAAGGAGACGTGGAGGAAGTTGGGGGGAAGGGCCAGCCTAGGGGGGATGTCTGGTAAACGCGTTCAATGGTTTTGAGTCAACCTGGTAACGTAAATCTCTGACTCTGTCCAAAGTGGACATTTTCCAAATTTCCATTTTTTTCTAAAAATACTTTATATATTACTTATATATATGTATGTATATGAATGTATAAGGAATCGCAGGGCTATCATTCGATTCATGTAACTAGACTCTGTTACCGACATGCTGCATCACTATCCAACAAAATAATAATAACTAATAATAATATAGCATGTCAAGTTGGTGATGGAGCCCAATAATATTCATGTAAATCGTGCCATAATTGATCATTTAAAAGAATCATTTAATTTTATTATTAGTTATTGTCTTTTTCATGAAACATGCTCGTACCTTCTTGACTTAACCACCAATATGGCCTTTGTGGCGGCTTCGGGCTATCAAACAAATGAACATGGATTATATCGAATGGATATATCCGAATATTATTGGATATAAATATATATATATATATATATATATAGAGAGATATATATTTATTTCTAATAATATCTATATACATAATCACTAATATTATTCAATGTTTGATTATGGAAATGAATTTTGTAAGATTAGAAATAACATGAAGAGGATATGATATTAAGGGAGAGAAGTGAGAGGGAGGATGTGTTGGTCACACCTTTTGCAAAGGAAGATATGAGGGACTTGAGAATGGTTAGGAATGCCAACACACCTCGTGTGTTGCCAAACCTCGCATATATCACAACTCACCATTCTCTCCCCATCTTCTTCGTTTGCTCCACACCCACCGCACTCCACAACCTTATTCCTTCCATTCTCATCAAACCCTTTCTCAACAATGATGTTGCTGTTATTATCCCCCACTCTCCCTTCCAACACTATCCTCCTTCCCGCCAATGTCGTCGCTGCCCCGACATCTACACTGGACTCCACGACCACGACATCTCTCAGTTCCCAATACATCTCTCTAAACACTCTCTCTGTTTCTGCGTACAATTCACCGAAAGTCGCATTCTTTCTCACTACTATGCATTCGTATGGAGGCAGTTGATCCCTTCCGTGATGGCCCTTTATCGAGATTGTACATAGCATTCCTAATTCCTCCTCCAAGTTAGCGACCCTAGAAATTTTGGCTTGTACTCCGTCCCTGTTGTACTCTTTGATGAAGTATTTTGCGTCGAGAATCGTCCTTGAAGCCATTCCTATTTGGTTCAATATCCCTATAGGCCCTAATGCTCCCTTGTAGTCCATGAGAATGTGCTTGTACAGGTACAACATATCCTTCGTCACTTGGCCTCTCGTCATCTTGTTGTGTCCGTTCTTCCCCGTTGGATTTTGCAGGGTTATTAGTTCATGATGGCTTGGTAACAAGTTTGATATGTCCTCCAAGCAATACTCTAGCACTTTTTTTACGGGATTCAAACTTCGTCGAACTAGATAGTTCCCAACTATTTGGTTCCCGAGCGACTTCAAGACGAAATCTAGCAAACCCGTGTCGCCTATATAATTTCTAGCGGCATCCCTCACTTCTTGCCTCGATATCCATCGGTACTCAACCCTTTTCAATGATTCAATGATAACTTTGATAGCCATTTGAATTCGTTTTTGAGACCATCTGCAGTTCACACTATCGATAGAGATGATTTGGTTTCGAGATGTCATGTCATTATCTCTCGGGAGACGTGAGTGGAGATCGAGCATGAAGAGGAAGAGATCGCGTAGAGTGATCAAAGGGTCATTGGACAAGGTTTGGTACTTGGACAAGAGAGTTGGAATTTCAGAGGCGAGGCTCGTGAATTGATGGCTAAGCAAGCACAAGGGAACGTTTTGAATCGCTTCGAGAGCCTTCTCATAGATGGTCCGAGTCACACCATATGTCCCTGACCCGAACCGGTAACCCCAATGGCCAAACCATGGCTCGCCACGTGCCACACCGTGGAGTAGCCTCAGCTCCATACCTCCCTTATGAGATGTGTCTTTCAAACCCACTTTCCTACAAAAGGTTGGAAAGAACAAGCATTTTAGTGGGACCAAACATATATACACAAAAGGATTCGGCTGACTTCATAGGTTCTCAATTTATTCAAGACAATGATTTCACATTGTGAATGTAAGTAACCTGGCCCGTAAACCGGTGCAGAGCCGGTCCCAGAGCTCCATGATCTGATGGCCGGTTAAGTCAGAACCGGACTCGACACTGCAGACAGAGAGCAAGTGACCCAAGCCATTGGAGTGAAACACACCGTGCAAGACATGTCCTTGAAGTCCAACAAGATGGGAGAGACTTTCCTTTTCGGGAACACTTGCGTGGCTGCCACTTTCCAGTTTTAGAAAGGCTGCCATCGTGTCCTTTGATGGGATCACGAAGTGGTACTTCTTGTTGCATACCATTTGTTTTCCCCAACCTGCAAATGTTCCGTTCGTACAGTGTGTGTATAATATTTACTTCTGATTATCATATCATATTATATATATATATGCACGTATTACGTATATGTATAGGAATCCACCATATGAATATTTCATTTTCTTTTGTTCTTATGTATACACAACATATACAATCATGCGTACAAAGGATAAAATACTATCTATCAATCTGGAATTTGTAAGACGTTGCTTATGAAATGAAATCAAAATTTGGCATAAAAATATCTGTGGCGGTCCAATTTCTCACCCATTTCACATCGGTTCATAAGTGAAACAGACTTGTCTGAATGTAACATTGGTCATAAGATCAGCACAAATACGAGGATTCAAAACGTACATGTAAAAAACAGAATAGAGAGAGAGAGAGAGAGAGGACGTCACCAACATATAGGCAATGGTTGCAGCGAAGCTCGAGAGAAGATTCAATGGGTTCTTCAATGATGAAGAGGAGAAGATGGAGAGGAGGGTGTCGATGAACTTCGAGCTGAAAAGACCAACTTCCCATGAGACCGGAACTCTCAAAGTGACCGAAATCTAGAAGGTTCTTAAGGTTGTCTCTGAAGGAAATCTCGTTGAACTCCGCAGGATGACCCGTCTCTCCGAATGTTCTGAACCTGAAAACCCTAGTTTCTCCTCTCTTCCTCTTCTTGCAAAGATGATGATGATGATCGGTTTGGTTCGGATTCGAAGACATCTCTTTCGACCTCGAAGAGCAGAAAAGAATGGCGGAGGAGAGGGTTTTTAGGATCAAGAAGGGAAGTGGTGTGAGAGTGTGTGAGGGCTTAGATATAGTAGTAAATATGATCACACGGTTAGTGTTTTTGTCCAAACAAAAAGAAAAGCGAGTTAGAGACCGAAGAGACATGAAGAGTGTTAGGATTTAATTTATATCTAATCGTGTAATAATTTTATTGATTTAAGAATTGGACCGATTAGATTGGGGTGTTGGCTCTTGTAATGTGCATGAAATGTATCATATTATCTCCTTCCGTTTTTTGTTCTTGATGATTTTGATCATTTATATTTCTAGTATTTATATCATTCTTTATATGTCTCGTCGATTTCACTCTAATGGTAAGTATCGTTAATACCCGTGATTAGGAATTTGCATATAATATATCATTCTATTCGATCGTATTAATTAATATATAACATATAACGAATACTAATTAATGAGTGAACAGTCATTTCCATAACAAAATTATATATATATATACCATGCAAAAAGATCGAGGGAGATGAATGTCACGTGAGTGGGGAATATGAGAAGATAATTATATATATATAATAATGGAGACATGCATTTGAGCATGCAAACTGCAAACTGTCTTAAGAGGATTAGATTTTGCCTCTCTGTTCCGCCAATTTCTGCGGCCAACTTGCTTCACATTCATTTCTATTTATGTATGTACGCACGTGTGTATATACACCCATATATAATTAGTTTCACTCGTGTGATCTTTAATTTCGGGTGATAATAAATTATTAGAACTCCAGGAAAAGGAAATTGTTGTTAGAACCATAGTGGGCTGATTAAAAAATCATATAATGGGCTACGAATCCCATTGAATTATTATTGAGCCCAATAGGCCCATTCAAATAATTAAATTGGATTATATTGACTAAATGGACATTATGGTTGAAATTCGAGTTATATTTCCATTCAATTAATTTTTATTTGTTTTATAAAAATTATAATCATTCGATTTTTACGATAGTTTTCTATTGCATTAAATTCAGAGTTAATTTTTAATAAAAAATCATTTTTTATTTAATTTTTTTTTTATCGTTTTCGAATTTAAATGAGACCCGCTTAATTTGATTATAAAAAAAAAGTTTATATAAAATTGGTGTGTATACCAATAGTTTGTTTAACCGATTTGGTAATAGATTGATTACACATAGTAATATCATCAGTTTTTATTAATTAAAAAAAAATTGGGAAAGGGAACTAACAAACGTATTGTCGATTCGGACATAAATGAGAAAACCCTAACATGTGATTGTGAGCTCAGGTGAGCGTTTTCACAATAATGACCCTTCAAGTTTTGAGTGTCTTTCAGTTAGTTCAACAACTTTGGTAACCACTGAACCAAACCTATTAATGGTTTGGTTGGATATTTTTTTCTCCCCCTTTCAAATAAAATAAATTTAAAAAAAAATTAGAAGCAATTGTTGCTTCAAAAAAAATAATAAAAAAAACAAGTGTTACACATTGTTCATGTTCTAAATGAAAGTTTTTATATGTACATCTAACTTGTACTTCTTTTTCATAGTTGTTTCACCTACCTAAAATTGACTACAAAATAAGTATGTATATCTATTTGGTATACGTCATTTTATGACGATGATGATGATGATGATGATGATGATGATGATGATGATGATGATGATGATGATGATGATGATGATATTGTCCCCAAAATTCATCGAGATAAATGACAGTAAAATCATTATATGATCTAAAACCCATTTTTTATTGGATGAATTTATATATATATATATATATATATTTCAATTAACTAATACTGTAGATATACATGATATGTGTAAAGTCAACTTTTCTATAATTATCAATATTTCTCCATATCTCATTCTATATAATAAATCCACATTATCTACTTAATATATATCAAATATAGTGGAAGATGACAAATATATTTCCGTGTTTAAGGTTTGAAATCAAATTACACAAAACAATTCTGAATATGATAATTTTCTAATGTTTAAATAATTTTATTGTATATTTAATAGGTTTAAAACAAAATCTTTGATAAAACAATTAAATTTTTGTAATTCATTTTATTTTCTCTAAATACCACGAATAATCATGTTTTTCACATTCAGTTAACAAAAAAAATGATGTTTTTCACATTCTAACAAAATTTAATTTTATAAAATGTTCTGATAAAAAAAATTTGATATGTAGAAAGAAACCAAATCAGTACATCTTGATTCACGAGCCTTTGAAAACCATAACTCAATCATAAATTTAGAAAGTCATTAATTTGATATATATATATATATAAACGATATTATTCTAAAATCTAAATTAACTCATAATCCTTAAGTAACATTCTTAAAAACCTAAAAATTAAAGCTTAGAAATCAACATATCAATAATATTAAATTGATATCCGATAATATAAAAATCACATTTACATCAAAATCAGAACAATGTTCTTCGAATTATTTGGATTATTTTAAATGATTTAAAAAAAATAGAAATACAAATAGATCGTATAAAGTATAACAAAAATATAATATCTAACAATAAAGAATTGGTGATGAAGATGGAGTTAAAGCCAATTATATCTATACAATGAGTCAAACATCTATACAATAAAACAATTTCTTCCAATTGAACTGAAAAAAGAATGATGACAGAGTATAAATCATTTATCAATAGGTATTAATATTTAAAAAACGTATTATTGTTAGATCATATTAGTTCTTACTTCAACTCTTAAATCATATTGAATAATTCCAAATGAAAGTAAGATATATAATTAGACCTAGAATAATTCCAAATGGACATCTAATTTTGGGTATTTCGTTATACATAGTCAACAAAATATAGCTAAACGATACCAATGCATGTTTGCATATGATGGAAAATGATTTAAAACATAAATCCATGGACAATATACATACTGTGTTAAAAACAAAAAGAGATAAAAAACCAAGTTAGGGTTTAAACGTTCTTCGATCTCTTCTTGATCATGTTCTTCTGGACATTGTTTTCTCCAACAAAATCAATTAACACTTTGTTGTTGCACCTTGGACATCTTGGTTTGCCTTCTAATGACATGATGATGTACATCATGCAATTAGGGCAACCCACCACCACCATTGATTTGGCCTTTCGGCCGTCTTCCTCAGCCTCCGATAATCCATACGACGATGATGAGCTCTCGGCCGAGGAAGAAGACGAATCCAGTTGTGTCAATGGTGGCAAAAAATTCAACTTGAGATCTAGCTCTAGGTCACTCGCGTTTTGTTGATTCATATTCATCGCTTCCAATACATATATATATATATATATGAATATAATATCACATATATATATATATATATATATATATATATATATATATATCTCTCTATC